GCTTAGTATACAGTGAGAAAAATAAAAAATCAAAATAAAAAAAAAACAAAAAATCAAAACCCATTTACAGAACAAGAAGCTTGGATTCATCATTGTCGGCCGCTCCTCTCCACCATCGCATTTCTTCCTCACGACCTAGCCCTCGCCAGTCCGTCACCGCCGTTGCACCACCTGCTATCCATCACAGCCGACATCATCCAAAACTGAAACTACCGAGGCCGTCTTCATCCTCTCCACCTTCCGAAGCCTCCTTGCGCGCCATGAGTTCGGCCACTGTTCAATCCTACCAAGCTCGTCGCCGCGAGTCATTCACGACTGAGTCAGCCAAGCCCTCCACCGGCTGTGCCGCCGCCGTCTCTTCCATTCAGTTCACCTACCTCGTCATCACAGCTAAGCTCGTGACCGCCTTGCCCGCCGCTCTGTCAATTGCCGGCTTCTTTTCAATTTGGGGGTTCATCGCGTTATACATCGGCGGCTTGGACAGGGACGAGTTAGATAGAGAGGGGAGTGAGAGGAGACCTAGTTGAAGATAAAGAAAAGAATAGGAAAATTAAAAATAAAGTCAAGAGCCAATAGGCTGCTAACACGTGTCCACCAGGCATTTTATTTTCCTAACTGTGATGCGGCACCGTTTTATTTGTAGTTAAGGGGGGTTTGTTGCACTTGGGGTATAGTTGAAGGGGGTTTGTTGCACTTTACCCTATAGTTTAATGTGCATATAACACCCCTACACCATATACACTCCTTTGGGCATTTTCAAAAAAAAATAAAAGGGCAAGACGGGCATTACAACATTATTTTATGTCTTATTTCTGTTTGAGGGGTGTTTTCATATAATGTTTAAAAAATAAAGAGGTTATTAACATAATTTTTAAAATAGGATGAATATATTTTTTGCACTTCACACACACACATATATATATATATATTTGTACGTGAATGTATGAAAATTATTAGTAGTGTTTGGCATGGGAGAGGTGATTGTGACCAAACACCTAAGGAAAACAGTCCGATCAAACAGTAGATTAAAAAATCAAACCAACCTTAGAATTAATGGTATAACACTGTCCCTTTCATCTGAACTAGATGGATAACAGACTCGGTATTATGTCCTTATCAAATTTCTCCATGGTCCACTGAGAAATAACTGAAGAGTGTGTACTATATAATGCTTGCTTATATATACATATATATATATATACACACACACAGTGTAATTTGTGTAATTTGTCAGGTGAAAAGATTGGTAAGGTATGGCACATGCTAAATTCATAGGCAAGTTGGCTATTCATGTACCATTAGAGGAAATTATTGTCAATGATGTGGAGTTAATCTTCTTAACTTGATCGGAAGGTGTTCCATCATTTCACTACCTAAACCAAAGATTATTGTGTTCCTTAATTTAGCATACAAAACTTTCTTTGTGCATGGCATTGGCAGATGAAAATATCATGAAGAATAATGACATTTATACAGACTATTTTGATTTATTTGTCTAAGTCATATAAAGTGAGAACGGAAACGAATTTGAGAGTGGGAGCGTGAGAGTGATATAATTAAATCATAAGCAGTGAAAATTTAAGCAAGAGCGTGGGAAAAGCGTGAGAGCACGAGCTCGTTTGGAACATGAGAGCGACACCTCTTAAGAACATTGTGAGATTTGGGTCTAACTGAAGATGTAACTATCCATTTGATAGTGTGGATAACTCAGTACATCAAAGGATATAAAAGGATATAGATCTCTTCGATTAGAAAATATATTTTAGATTTCGGTGCAAGAATCATTTTTCTATCAAAAAATTCACTGTTGGTTTGGTTTGTTACTGACCAAACAATTATCTAGAAGTCAGAAAACATAAATCTTTTTTTAAAAAATTATAAAAACAAGTTTTCAAAAAAAAAAAAATTTTACTGAGTTTTCAAAAAACATTTCTTAAAAATTGTCAATAAAATAAATTTTTATACAACTTTTAAATTTTCAATTCTCTAAAACCATGGCCAAACAGGCTCATAGTATCCTAATATCACAAACTCCCACATGTTTTGTGGAGAATACAAACATCTTAGTGTCTTAATTCTTGCATTCTTGTTAGGTGTATCAAATTCTCTCTCCACGAGTCTCTCAAGCATAATGCTTTGATGCTTTATCCTCTTAATTTGTTAATCTTCCACCACCTTTAACAATTAATATAAGCTATGTGAGATGATCGAACATCAAAACCTTTGTAAACCTATGCTACATCTCTGGTACTCATAAATTCCGTCCCATAACATATATATATATCTATATTTACACACACAAATACATATATCATGATAGAGACAGAAATTCACGTGGAGAACAACGACGAAGAATCATCATCATCTTTATCGTCATCTTAGCCTTTTTTATAAGAACCGATTTGGTCACTTGAGTTCTCTCTTCTCCGGTTTTTTTTTTTTTTTGCTCATCATTTCACTTAGTATGTTTAACTTTTTAATGTAAATTCTAATAACTTCATCCGTTCCGTGCAGAGTTGAGGCTTCCACATGTATTCGATAGTGGGTTTACGTTCTAAATCATAGAGAACAAACTCGACCTCCTCGAGGGGGATCATCATGAATATCCATCTCGGTTAAAAACCCTAACAAAGATCATCGCTCCCTAGACAAGGAGACCCCCCATCCATGAAAAGATGGGCTAAGAGAAGGTGGGGCAGATCTTCTAAATCGCTTTAATACTACTACACAGGGAATAGGAAGTTGTCCATGCATCTTGATCCAATTCGGCACTGAACCAAGGACATCTTTCTTTAGATTAATATTCTTAATCAAGGGACATTATTATTTTAGTTCGCTCTCTTAGCCGATTAATGTCTCTTCGCCAATTAACATATATATATATATATATATATATATATATATATATATGTATGTATGTATGTATGTATATATATACATACACACAAATACATATATCATGATAGAGTCAGAAAATCACCTGGAGAACAACGTCAAAGAATCATCATCATCTTAGCGGAGTTGTTTTTTTATTTTATTTTATTTATTTATTTATTTTTATCCTTGCACACAGAAACAAACATAAGACAAACATTAACAACCATCCTTGGCGGCTACGTGAAGAATATCAGTTGGAATAAAGCCAAGAACATATCCGTATGGATGTGAAAACGAGAGAGCTTCGCTAGAGCGTTAATGACCTCATTGTCATTCCTATAAACATGACTATAATATGAGAGAGAGAATCGCCGAAACGTCACCTGAATAACAAAGCAAATTGGATGAATATCAGTCGGCCCAGGTGCAACTCCTGTAACAGCATGAACCACAGTCAACTAATCGCACTCAAACCAAACTTTAACAAATGAAAATGCCCAAAGAACTTCTTTGTGAAGACAAAAAGCTTCCGCAACTTTTGCACTTGTAGCAAGAAAAAATGAGAAAAAATCACTGCCCGCAAAATATGACCCAAAGAATTGTGAAAGACAACGCCCCCTCCCCCCACTTGGGATGAAGAGAAAAAAGACGCATCAACATTACATTTAACCAAACCACCACTCGGGGGTAGTCATTGAGAAGGAGACGGAGAGGATTCCACAGGACCTGAAACAGATTCGCCAGAACTTAAGGTGGAGACAATGAAAGATCATACATTTTTAAACTCCCATAACTGAGAGCATGCCAAAGCAACCACCCAATTAGAGTCCCAACACTTGTTAAAAATAAATTAATGCCATGTTCATTGTGCATTTGGGTTTATTCATGTATTGTTATTGTACATGTATCAAGAAGGTACATGTATCAAGTGAGTGCATGTATCATGTGAGTGCATACATCATATGTGTGGTTGAAAATTGTCTTGAAAAGTTCAAAGGTCTATGGAAGAATAGTGTAAGGGATTTGTTGTTAAGACATATCAACACAACAAAGAATTCAATACAATACAATATTTGTTTCTCTTTTCTCTTCACTTAAAAATTATTTAATTAGTTGAAACTACCGCCAACAACACTCACCCTCAAAAACACACTTATTTCTCGCTTTTCAAATACCCACTTTCTTCCGCTTCCACTTACACTTACCACCAGCACTTAGCAAACGATGAAGGAAGGGCATACGCAAAGTCATCTATCCATACGCGGAGTCGGTTACTTGAGTTCCTTCATTTTTCTTTTTCTTTTATTTTTTTTTTTTCATGTCATCCTAATATATTTAACTTTTTTAAAGTGAATTCTAATAATCTGACATTATTATTTTAGTTGGCTCTCTCAGCCAATTAACCTCTTCGCCAATTAATAGTACCTCATTTCTTTTAAATTTTTTTTCTTTCCCCTAAACAATATGGTTTAATTAACTCGGTAGTACTGTGTAGATTATGGATCAAAAAGCAATGGTAATATTCTCATGCGTGAATCACGTTACAAAATCATCTTGAACAAAACCCCACTCTCATTAAACAATACGTGCATAGCCATCACCTTAAAGATGACATGGCCACCCTCCGATTGGAGCGTATACTCCACTCCCAAACAACAGAAAGTGGTACATTTTCTCTCTCCTACGCCCCTATACAGTTTATACCATCCGATGCACTTCCTATGAATAAGGTTGCAACTGTAATTTTTTATACTATTGTTACAGCAAAACAAGAGAGAGAATTGCGGTTGACAAAATTGTAAAACCCCAGCCTAATTTAGCAGACACCCTCCGCCGCCACCACCGCCTCCTCCTCCTCCGCCACCACCATCCACCACCCTCGTGTGGATGGCAAAAGAAAGACAAGCATGTGTTTGTTTTCATTATACCTCAAGACCCATGGCATTTGACACCTCAAAAATTGTGTGTGTTGATCACACAAACTTAAAAAGCAACAACATGCAACCCAAAAAAGTTCCTCACATCCCATTTTGATCAAGTGACACGAAATTGAAAACTAACCATCTCTACTTTCTCTCTCTAGAAAATATTGAGTTTTTGGGCTAGGGGTTCGCTGTGGGAATATGGCGGACATAGTGAAACAAATCCTAGCAAAGCCAATCCAATTAGCTGATCACGTGGCCAAAGCGGCTGACGATGTTAGCTTATTCAAACAAGAATGCGCGGAGATAAAGGCTAAGAGCGAGAAACTGGCTGGCCTCCTCAGACAGGCGGCGCGTGCCAGCAATGACCTTTATGAGCGTCCCACGCGCCGCATCATCGACGACACCGAGCAAATCCTGGACAAGGCCTTAGCCCTCATCATTAAATGCAGTGCCAACGGCTTTAGACGTGTCTTCACCATCATCCCCACTGCAGCCTTCCGCAAGACATCCCAGCAGCTCGAGAATTCCATCGGGGACGTGTCGTGGCTCCTCCAGGTGTCCACTCCAGCCAATGACCGCGAGGACGACGAGTACCTTGGGCTGCCACCTATTGCTACCAATGAGCCCATCCTCTGCCTCATATGGGAGCAGATTGCAATTCTGTGTTCGGGCTCGATTGAGGAACGGACAGATGCGGCCAATTCTCTTGTCTCGTTGGCTCGGGACAATGCCCGGTACGGGAAGCTCATTATCGAGGAAGGAGGGGTCGTGCCGCTGCTGAAGCTGGCCAAAGAGGGACGAATAGAGGGTCAGGAGAACGCGGCGAGGGCCATAGGCCTTCTCGGTCGTGACCCGGAAAGCGTTGAACACATTGTGAATGCCGGTGTTGCCGCGGTGTTTGTGAAAATCCTCAAAGAAGGTAAGATGAAGGTTCAGATTGTGGTGGCTTGGGCTGTCTCGGAATTAGCTGCACATCACCCAAAATGCCAAGACCATTTCGCTCAGAACAATGTAATTCGATTGCTCGTTGGTCATCTGGCGTTTGAAACGGTTCAAGAGCATAGTAAGTATGCAATTGCTAGCAAACAAGGGATGTCAATCCACACACTTTTAATGGGTAATAAGAACACTAACAACATACACAATGAAGAAGAATATGAGCAACTGCTCACTAGTCAGATTTCTCATCCAATGGGTAATGACAATCCCAGTCAGATGCAGAGTTTAATAACAGCCTTGAAAACCCAATCCAAGTCAACCCCACCACAGAGCACTCATCCACCTAGCCAAACTAACCATGCCAAGACTAACCTCAACAATCCAAGGCCAAAAAACCACCACCACCACCACCCAACCCACCATAATCATAGTCAGCAGCATGGTTCGTCCAGTGGAACTAGCGATAAGGTGAGGGAATCCGAAGATCCGGAGACCAAGGCTCAGATGAAGGCAATGGCTGCAAGAGCCCTTTGGCATCTCTGTGAAGGAAATGTCACCATATGTCAAAGCGTAACAGAGTCCAGAGCACTTCTCTGCTTTGCGATTCTGTTAGAGAAAGGCCCCGATGAAGTTCAATACAACTCGGCCATGGCATTGATGGAGATCACTGCAGTGGCAGAGCAACATGCTGAACTGAGGCGCAACGCTTTCAAGCCCACTGCACCGGCTGCCAAAGCCGTTGTAGACCAGTTGTTGAGAATAATCATCGGTACAGACTCAGACTTCATCATACCCTGCATTAGAATTATTGGGCACTTGGCAAGGACTTTCAGGGCAACCGAGACAAGAATGATCGCGCCATTAGTCCAACTCTTGGATGAAAGGGATGCTGAGGTTACTCTGGAGGCACTTGTGGCGCTGACCAAATTCGCGTGCACGGACAATTTTCTCCACATTAATCACTCCAAAGCCATCATAGAAGCAGGAGGTTCAAAGCACCTGATTCAAATTGTTTACTTTGGTGAACAAATTGTTCAAGTGCCAGCATTAGTTCTCTTGTGTTACGTCGCAATGCACATCCCGGATAATGAAGTATTAGCTCAGGAAGAGGTGCTCATGGTGCTCGAGTGGGCGACAAAGCAGGGGCCTTTAATACAAGATCCTTCAATTGAAACACTGCTGTTTGAAGCCAAAGTTAGATTGGAACTCTATCAGTCCAGAGGTTCAAGAGGACTCTATTGATCATTGGGTAAAATTTGTACATTATTGCCGCGAATAACTTTGCAAAAATTTTCTGTTTTTCTTTTGTTATCTTTCACTATCATGGAGTGTATATAGAGTTAGCTTTGTTGTAACCATCATCAGTCTTGGTGGTAATTGTTTAGAAGAATGAACAGTTACTTCTTAGACACTCCCATAGTCCCATTTTTCTTATTCTGTAGTAAGATTAAATAATGTGGTATGGTTTAAAAACTTAACGAAAAGGATAGAGAGATTGACAGTCTGACAGAGGAAGGAGAAAGTATAAAATATACGGGATATTTTACACGTTCAATTCCCGTTCAATCAGTCATCTTTTTTTAAATATATATATATATATATATATATATATATATATATATCTATTTTTGTACATCAAAGCAAATAGAGAGTTTCAATGCATGATGTACAGTCATATTTAAAAAATAAATAAAAAATTATCTATTTTTGTTCATCAAAGCAAATAGAGAGTTGATTATACATTGGATTGGACGGAAATACGTATATAAATACATCTGTGATATTGAAAACTTTTTCCGATAGGTGAATCTTCCCACAGTTCAGTGAGCCTACATGACATTCATGAACAAAGGTCTAAATGGTTTGTTTCTTTCTTTCTTCCTTCTCTATCATTGAAATCATTAAATTAAGAGATAATTCCATAAAAATAGAGCTTTAAGGGTCAAAGGATAAAAGAATAAAGTCAAAATTAAATTTTTTAAATTAATGAAATTTTCTCAAAATGTGACTTGGACATGAAAATATATTATACATCTTAATTTGTTACCCAGAATAACCTTCACCTTCTTTGTTTCACCTCCATCCTCTCCAGCCAGCAGCCGCCGCTGCCACCGCCGCCACCACCACCATCATCACATCACCAAATAAATTACGACACTCAAATATATGCAAACATAACAATACAAAAATAATTCAACAACCCGCTTCAGAATGCACCAAATTCAAACCCAAAATTCAACAATTCGTCACATTATTCACTTTCAGGACAATACATCTAAGTTTCAAAGGGTATGTGTAGGAGTTTTTTCCCTCCACAGTATGTAATTGATTAAAAATTAAAATTGAACAATGTGGTAATGTGTCTCTAGTTCCAAAAGTTGTAATTTGTTTAAACATTGTCAACTGCAAAATTAATTCATTTAATTTGTAACAATTTCAACTAGAAGAATCCTCTTAATCTTAAAAAAAAAAAAAAAAAAAAAAAATTGAAAAGCCACCCGAATTTTGGGTTTTGAATTTGGTGCATTCTGAAGCGGATTGTTGAATTCGTTTTGTATTGTTATATTTGCATATATTTGGGTGTTGTAATTTATTTGATGATGTGATGATGGTGGTCGTGGCTGGCTGGAGAGGATGGGGTGGTCGGCGAAGGAAAACAGAGAAGAGAGACCCATATGATCTGTTGTAGAGGTTAGAGAGAGAAAAAGACAATGAATGAAGGTTATTTTAGGCAACAAATTAAGATGTACAGTAAATTTTCATGTCCACTCAGACTTTGAGAAAATTCTATTAATTTAGAAAACTTAATTTTGACTCCATTATTTTGTCTTTTGACCCCCAAAATTTCATTTTTATGGAATTATCCCTTAAATTAATCTCTTTCATTCTTTCTTTGTAGCTTCCTTTTCTTTGATGTCATTCAATCAAGTTATCATTTTTTCTCATAATCAAAGCTTTCTTTTTAACTCTTTTTTAAATAAAGCCTCAGCAAAAATCAGTAGATTCTCAAATTACTCGTCCTTTGTCATGATTTTCGAAAAAAAAAAAAATCTAATTCTTGAAAGGCAAAATTTTTAATATTCCCTCGAGCATGAAGATCATGGAGAAGATAATGCGTGAGTTGAGACCAACTGGGTTGAATTGTGCATATTTATTGGTTGAACATATCAATAACATGACAAGTTCAATTCACCCAATATCTTCCCAAGATGGTGACATCTCTTTGGCTCTCAACACAATATGAAATGATGTCGAAAATATAGACTCATTTTATCTCATATAACTAATCCATCTTTTCTTTTAGGATGTCCCAAATTAATTGTCTCATTTGAAAACAAAACAAAATAATATTATATTTAGATAATTATCCTTTAAGTTTTAAACTTTACTAAAAATAAAAATTTTTATAAGGAACAATGCTTTAAAAAAGCTATAAAAACAAAATAGGACATCTAATGCAGAGTAAATTTACTCTATATTGTATGGGACATCTATTATTAAGTAAATGTAGAGAGATAGTCTTGATGTCGTAACCCTGGATTTTTCAACCTAGTGTCCAGTTATGAATCGAAGATTGACCCAATAATGGATCTAGATATGGAAGCAAAAGAAATAAGACAATGGTCTCTCAAGGCATAACACACCTCTAAGACCCTAAGATGACCTTTCATGAGGTCACGGAATCCAAATGGATTAACTGGAAGCGAAAACTAGAATGAAAAGGTCACTTGGTACCCTATGGCACCAATGACAACCAAAGGAGAAAGATCTAGTTCAAACTAGACCATGTGTGCCATAGAATGGCACAAATAAGATAAACAAGGTCCTGTGGGAACAATCAAACGAAGTTAACCTGTCTAGGCAACCAACCAAACAAAACCTACAAGGAAGCTCCATTTCGGTCAACCGAAATGGAGCTTCGGTCTGCCGAAATGAGCCAAGAAAAGAAGGGAAAATGAGCCTTCAGTTCGGTCGACTGAAATGACAAACCGGTCGACCGGTTTGTGGCTCGAGATGGAGAATGGATACTGGAATTGAGTTTTCACTGTTCAATTGAAATTCAAAGGGCATCGGTCGACCGAAATAAGCCACTGGTCGACCGAAACAGGTCGAAAATGTGAAGAATGAACCTGCTATGCACCAAAACTGAAAAAAAAGACTTTAAGTCTCATTTGCATCCCCCATGACATGATCAATTTACATTATATGCTAATGTGTGATGGTGTAAACATACACGCAAAGGTAATATGATATTTTAGATGTGCTACAATCATTTACAAAATTTTACATGCCAAACCTTCAAAGTTGATAAAAATACATTTTTATACAAAACATGGTACCAAATGAGTACAAGTGCAATTACAAACATGTTTGGCCCTTGGCCTCATATCATACACATCAATTACCTTACAAAAAGTGTACTTATGTACACCTTACATATTTAAAACAAAAATACAAGTTTTGTCATACAAGCAACAAATATGGTTTCATGCCAACATTTTGATGTAAATGGTACTTCAAGTCTACGAAACTTCCATGGCATAGTGTGTATCCCAAAACAAGGTCCCTGTACCTGAAAAATTTCCCCACTACATGGGTGAGTAACATAAAGTTACTCGTACGAGATGAGCATGCATCAACCTAGCATTTTACAATTATATCACCTTAAGATGAAACATGTTAAAGGGGCTCATGCCACCTAACGTCTATGTCATAATAAGATTCAGGGAGCATCCTAAGCTACTCATGCAATTGAATTGAACAACGGCATACAAGTGTACATGCTCAATTACACTAAACCGTAATAAAAACATGATACACGACATACAAGCATACATGCCCAAGTACCCTAAATCATGTTAAACAAGTTATACATTGTCTAAGCAAGCATATACAAACATACAATTTACGTGGAAAACTCATAAATCAAGTATACAGGCACAAGTATACTAAGCTAAATGAATTACGCATAAGACAAGCATACACGACACAAGTATACATTATGAAATCCGATTGCACAAATCAAATATGCAATGCTTAAGTATACTATTTAGGGTTTAGATACACAACCAAGGATACAAGTTCAAGTATACTAAATGAGATGTAAATACACAAAACAAGTATACAGTTTCAAGTATACTAAACAGGATTCAAATATCCAAGTAAGCATTAATTCTCAAGCTACAAGTAATACATGATTAACAACTTGAAATTAAATGCGAAATCAAATAGTGGAAAGACTAGGATCCTTGGCTGCAGACCAATTAAGTTATTCCAGGTTACTAGCCCGCAAGGTACTACCTAGTGCCCACATGTATAAGTTATTTCGGGTAATTACGAACCACAAGGTACTACCTACTGCGCACTTCATATGACTTAGGAAACTCACGAAACCGTACTAGGGCCACACCCTAGCCATTATATGAACATGATCCTTACAAGCCTCCAAAAAATAATAAGTTCAAAACTTATGCAAAAATCAATAAGTTAAACCAAACTTATACATTTCAAATAATGTCTAGGAATCAATTACATGCACAAATAAGGTTGATTCTTCACAAACCATGTCCTATAATTCAAATCCAGATAGCATATGACGTGTCAAGTTTTCATTATGCAATTTATACACAAAGTAAGAATATTTTACAACAATTGAACCACATTACCATTCTAAGCCACAAGTACTAAATAAGCTACAATTTAGTAAGAAGCTACCAAAGTAAGCAATTGTAATATTCAAACAAGCTATACACCTACACAAGATATATTTAAACGAGCTATTCAAGATAATGATATCACCTATCATGCTAAGTCAAATTACCATCTTTAGGGGTTACAAGTACTAATTCTACAACAAGTTAGTAGCATGATCACAAGATAATTAAATGGACTACATTTCAAGGAATTATCATCCTATTACCTCCAATATCAATTTAAGTAACTAACACACTTAAAACAAAATTAATTAAGCTAATTAATTAATTTTTCTCTAGATTTTCAAACATATGCAAATATCCTCAATTTAATATATGTTAAAGAACTCACCAAGGCCTACTTAAATATCACATTACAAGTTGATTTCATGCTTGATATAACTATGTGAATTTATCATTCATTAAGGATAAATATTAAATAAATTTTGCAATTCTTAATCAAATGCCCCAAATTTAATATATGTTAGACAACTCACTAAGGCCTAATTTACTAGCATGCCACAATTTAATTCTAAACTATATACCATC